TAGCTAATTGGTGAGCTACAATGGGGAAAAATAAGGTGGCAGGGCCAGAGAGGGAGAGATGACTCAGCAGTTAAGAGAACTTGTTCTTTAAGAGGATCCAAGTTCAGTTCCCAGCGACTCAGAGTCACCTGCAACTTCAGATCCAGGGGCTCTGACAAACTCTTCTAGCTTCTGCAAACTCCAGCCCATAGTGGGAATACGAACACACACACACACACACACACACACACACACAGAGAGAGAGAGAGAGAGAAGAGAGAGAGAGAGAGAGAGAGAGAGAGAGAGAGAGAGAAGAGAGAAGTCTAACCCAGACATACACCTACAAGGCTGACCCAGCCTGGGTTCTCCATGAGGACCTCATGTCTGAGGCCCTGCATTAGCATGATGTCACCAGTACTCCTGACAGTACAAAACCATGTTGGCCCTTTACTCCAGCCACCCCACCCCATCTTGAACTTGAGATGTAACTGAGCTGGGTAGGTGGGCAGGCCCTCATTTTGCTTAGGAAAGCCCTCCACATCCTTCCAGCTCTCCCCAAGTCTTTTCTCCAGGCCCTCTCCTCTGAGCCCACCAAGCCTTGGGTTAGGTTGTTATCACTGTATTCACCTATTCTCGATGACTGTAAAGAAGTAGCCTGGAAGTTGTTGGGAGACACTTGCTCTCCTGCAGGGCTGTCAGTTCCAGAAGGGCAGATCTGAGTGTGTCTGTCCCAGAGCTGTGTTCAACAGATATGAATGTGTGAGTGAGGGAGAAAACACATAGAAGTTATCAATGGGCAGCTAGAGTCTACACTCTTCCTGCCCTGAGGGTATCCCAAGGAGAAATGCCATGTTGAGGATGCTGCACTGTTGGGTGGGGTCTCTCCGCATTTGGAACTAACTAGTCCAGGGGCAGCAGTAAGAAGAGGCAGGTTCTCAGCTGCCACTACTTTTGGAGAGGGGAGAGCAAGCTAAGCAGCTGATGGCATAAAATCCTGCCTCTTTTTGGTTTTAGATTTAAATTTATTTTAATTTTTTATTATTTTTTTGTTTTTGGTTTTCAAGACAGGGTTTCTCGTGTAGCCCTGGCTGTCCTGGAACTCACTCTGTAGACAAGGCTGTCCTGGAACTCACAGACATCCACCTGCCTCTGCCTCCCAAGTGCTGGGATTAAAGGCGTGCACCACCACCACCTGGCTAATTTTTTTTATTTTTGTGTGTATGAGTGTTTTGCGTGCATGTATGCCTATGCAGCATGTGTGCGCGTAGAATCCAAGAGGACCAGAAGAGGGTATTGGATTCTCTGAGACTGGAGTTATAAGCCAGTGCTCTTAACTGCTGAGCCCTTGTCCCTTTAAAGTTTTGTACTTTGTGGTGCTGATTATGAAGCCAGGACCTTGCAAAATCCAACACTGAGTTACTCCCTGAGTTACTCCCCAGTGTCCCAAGACAGGGTCTTAAATACCGAAATTGTCACTTTGGGAACTTGTCTCCCTCCTACAATTTTGTTTTGTTTTGCTTTGAGACCACACACTATCTCATATGGCCCACGCTTGCTAAACTCATTGTGTAGCTGAGGGTGATCTTGAATTTCTGATTTTTCTGCCTTTGCCTCTTAAGTACTAGGATTACAGGCTGAGTTTTATTTGGTGCCAGGAATGAAACCCAGGACATCTTGAATGCTAGTCAAGTACTGAGCCACATGCCCAGCTCTCACTCAGGCCTCTGTTATTTTCCTGCCATTGTAAGGCAACATGTTCCTGTGCTCTGGCTCTGGTACTCTCGGGGGTCTTATTTTCTACATAGGAGAGGAAAAATTAGATTGTCCTCTTGGGGAAAGAATCTCCCTCTCTCTCTCTCTCTCTCTCTCTCTCTCTCTCTCTCTCTCTCTGTGTGTGTGTGTGTGTGTGTGTGTGAGAGAGAGAGAGAGAGAGAGAGAGAGAGAGAGAAAGAGAGAGTATGTGTAGTGTATATGTGGAGGAGCTTGCTGGAACCAATTCTCATCTCCTTGGGGTGGAACTCAGGCTTGCTTGGCAGCAAGTGTCTTTACTCCCTGAGCCTCTCTGGCCCTTTTTGGGGCAGAGTTTTAGATGGTAGAAAGTCACCATGTGAAGGTTGCCAGGTCCTAGGGAATGTCAACTCCAGTCACTGTTGGGTGACATCTATCAGACAAATATCCTCCCTAGCAATGAGCTGGAAAGAACCTAAAAGCTACCAACTGGCAGCCACTGTCCCTGGCGCCTTTGCCCTGTCTCCTTCAGGCCCAGAGCTAGGGCTGGCACTGTCCTGCTTTCCCAGTCACAGCTACTGTCATTATTGCTCTGGGACTGAGTCTTGGGGAGGGATGTGGGAGCACAGGACTGTCTCAATTGACTGAGCCTGAAGCACCTGTTGTTTCCCTCTGTCCACAGGCGAGCTCCCAACTTTCAACATTCCCCACTGAGGCCGATCGCCAGCGAGCTCTTAAGGCCCACCGGGAAGAGTATGCCGTGCGCCAGGGCCCCCTGAGGATGGGCAACTACACCCACCCCTAGCCCTCCCCACAGAGGGAGCCTTCTTGATGCAGTAGAAAAATCCCCAAAGAATTCATTTTTCACACCCAAACTCCAGGAAGACACTCCCACATTCTGACACAGCTCTGCCACAGGGACCTCAGATTTTTAGGTTACTTATTTTTTTATAAGAACCCCGAGCCTCCCCACCCTTTCTGTCTTGTCTAACCCCAATTTCCCTCTGCCTAGGGAGCCACCATTCTCCTCCTCCTCACTCTTCTCCACTCTTCTCTCCTCTTTCCCCTTTTTCTTCTTTTCCCCTTTCTCCTTCCGTTTTCACCTCCTCCTCCTTTTCCAGGAGACCCACTCGGCCTATTTACAAGACTTACTTTACAAAATAAACCAAAATTACAAGGAAGTATTAAAATAAATAAATCCAGGCTATGAGTCAATTTCATAGCCCTGTCTACCAGGCACCAAGAATGACCTGTGTATTTACTACAGAAAGAATACCACCCCCCCACCCCCCACAGGCTTTGAAAGCCCTCATTTCATATTCCAAACATGAGTTTTAATTGCCCTTCTGGAGATGTCTGGGGTCTCGACATGGCAGGATTCTCTCTCTGGGACCCCTGACAGCAGGAAGAGCCTGCAGTTCATTACTCAGGGCCAGCCCCCACCCTTAGTGCTATGGACCTGTCAATCACACAGACCAGCATGGTCTTAAGACTACCTGGATGTCGCTCACCCCTCCAAAGAAGAGCACCTTGTGTGGGGGGGAGATGTGTGGGGGGGTGTCTGGGGGACTCCAGGGGTGGAATATCTTGGTATCTGAATCCCATCTTTCCCCAGTGTCTTTGGCTTCTCCCCACAAATTACAAATTACAAATTACAAATTTAAATATAAAAGATAACTTGCCCTCTTCACCTTGAGTCTTTATTTGAAATCAAACTGTAAAGGGAAGGGAACTAACTTCAGATATAGATGTTGTTACACAGAGACTTTCAAGGTATGCCAACCTCTACTCCATGCCCACAGATCCCTCCCTCAGACAGGCCAGGTTTTGAGCCTCTTCAGAGTCTGTTCTAGTCAGTGTTCTGTTACTGGGAAGAGACACCATGACTTGTCCTAGTACTTGATCTGTAGACCAGGCTGGCTTTGAACTCACAGAGATCTGCCTGCCTCTGCCTCGGAGTGCTGGGATTAAAGGTGTGTGCCACCACCGACTGGCCCACAACAACTCTTATAAAGGAAAATATTTAATTGGGGTTGGCTTACAGTACAGAGGTTTAGTCCACTGACGACATGGCAGGAACCATGGTGGCATGTAGGCAGACATGGTGCTGGAGACATCGCTGAGAGTTCTATGTCGGGATCTGAAGGCAGCAGGAAGAAAGACACTGAGTATGGCTTGAGTACTTGAAACCCTAAAACCCACCCCCAGTGACACATTTCCTCCAACAAGGACACACCTCCTAATGCCTGCCAAGTAGCACCACTCCTTAATGACCAAGCATTCTAATCTATGAGCCTATGGGGGCCATTCCTACTCAAACCTTCCTGGAGCCCCAGGCAACTGGGAGTTCTCAGGACTCACCTAGGCCCCTGCCTGCCTGATGCCTGAATTGGGAGTCTGACATTTATTCACCTCTAACCAGCCTGAATATACAGAACACTCTGTTTCCCCCAAACCTGCTTCCTCCTCTGTCTTCACACGTCATAAGTGACACCAGGCACCCAGCTGCTAAAGCTCAGACTTTCCTTTGCTCAAGTCCCTTCATCTTTCACATGTCATCCACAGAGAGCTTCTGGGGTGTAGGTCAGTGGGTAGAGTGCTTGCTCAGCTTGTACAAAGCCCTGAAGTCCATCCCCAGCATGGGATAAAATGGGTATAGAGGCACACACCTCTAATCCCAACTCTTGGGACATAGAGGCATGAGAATCAAAGTTACATAGTAAATTCAAGGCCAGCCTGGGTTATGTGGAACTTATGTGGTTATATGGTCTTAGAAAAAGAGAAGAAGCTGGGTGGTGATGGCGCACTTGGGAGGCAGAGGCCGGTGGATCTCTGTGAGTTCGAGGTCAGTCTGGTCTACAGAGTGAGTTTCAGGACAGCTGGGGTTACAGCCTGTCTCAAAACAAAAACACTCCCTGTTCTGTACTGGCCTGCCCTTGATGTTCTGACAGGGTACATCCTCAGCTATAGCCACTAGGAGCACCACCTGTACCTCTCCGTGTGAGCTCTGTTGCATGGTGTCTTTCTCTCTCAGGCAGCGTCTTAAATTTTACACCCCCCCCCCAAAAAAAAACAGAAAGAAAAGCAGGGCATAGTGGCACACACTTTAATCCCAGCACTAGGGAGGCAGAAGAAGGTGGATCTCTGTGAGTTCAAGGCCAGCCTGGTTTACAGAGTGAGTTCCAGGACAGCCAGGACCGTTACACAGAGAAACCCTGTCTCAACAAACCAAAAAAGAAAAAAGAAAAGAAAAGAAAAGAAAAGAAACCAAATACAAGGAAAAGAGAGGGAGAAAGGGAAGAAAGCTATGTGGCTGAGGTTCACCTGGACACTGTCGATGTCTGCAAAGCTGGCGCCCCAGCAGCCTCTCTCCAGCTCCACTCCCTCCGTCTGAGTTGCATCCCAACTCAGAGAAGTTCAGAAAGCTCCTAGCTACCCACCCCCTGGCTTCCCAGCTCCTCAGAAGCTTTGCTCTAGAGCAGGCTTTCAAGTTCTGTGACTTCTGAAGGCAAAGCCAAGGTCCAGCTGGGACATCCCCAGGCCAATCACTGAGTCACTTCCTACCTGAGTCACCTCCTACCTCTGGCCCCTCCTCGTTCCCCGCTGGACCTGCTCACTTCTGCCTCAGGCTTAATGCTTGTTTTCTTCTCTGTCTGCTGCACCTGAGGTTCACAGTGTCACCTGCCTCTTCCTTGTCTTTCAGATCTCAGAGTCCCTCCTCCCACAGACCCAAGTAAATTCACACTGGCCTATGTGAACTGTTTGCAGCACACAACCCCACTCAACACACAACAGTTTCTTTACTGGCTCACTGCTGTCTTCCCTCCAGAGGGACCCCACCACTGCCATCAGGGATCTCAGATGCCAGAGCCAAATCCCATGGTCATGGGCCAGGCATCTAGTAGGTGTTCAGGGCTGTCTGCATAGTGGCCACTGATTGGAGATCCCCTGGGCCTGGAGGGTTCTGTAGGCGTCCACGTTGCTACATACACCACATACACAAATACGCAGTACATACGCTTGCACATATATGCTCACATGCAATGCACCCCTATGCTGTAACTCACTAGCAGCCAAGTACATACGCTTGCACATATATGCTCACATGCAATGCACCCCTATGCTGCAACTCACTAGCATACTGACCCCCTTGGGAACATGGTGCAGTAAGGCTGTGAAGGATCCTACCCCACCTATGAGCTCGAACTCTGTTCTCACTCCCAGAGGGAAATAAGTCTCCTGACTCATTTGGCTAAAGCCATCCTGAGTGTCAGAGCCAGATGGAGATGCAGAAGTGAGCCAGAGATGGGGTCAGCCATGGAGCCAGCAAATCAGGGCCGCTGTGGCTAAGAACAGGCAGCCAGCATGATCTGGAGCCAGAGTCCTGACCTCTGAGCCTGAGTGTTAGGCAGGGTGCTGCTCCACACCCGCCCCAGTTAGAGTAAGCCCTTAGAGAATGTGTAGGATGTGATAACGTGATAAACTGTGGATAAACATGAGGTTTTGTTTTCTTGCACTACAACACACTGGGGCTAAGTCCTTTGATGTAGGATGGGCCCATGTTCAAAAGACAAGGAAAAGATAGTTGGGATGGAGCCAGCTTCCAGAAAAAGAAGCAGCTGTATAGGAAGCCAGATAATTTTCCAAAGCACTCCCTGCCCCCCTCCCCCCAAAAAATTGGGCTTTGGGCTACTAAGGGTGGGGTTAGCCTTGCTGTGGCATTGAGAAAGTAGTTAGCAATACCAGGGTGGCTTTCCCCAGGACCTCGCTGAGGTAGTAGTTGGGCTAGGCCAGCACGCACTGAAGTGTTGAGGTACTTCCTTTATTCAGCTATTGTTTGCCTGGCACACTGTGCCACTTGTGAGGCCTGGGGCAATGCCTGGGTGCTGACCCCATGGGCCACGCTCAGGATCAGGGCTGGATCTCAGTGAATTCAACGAAGATCCTCAGCTCCTTGTCCTACAGCACCACCCACTGGAGATCCAGAGGCAGAGTCTGGAGATTCCTGGGCCAGCATGCTGGGCTCCGCTGACCTCATCAATTATTTAAGCCTGTACAGAGCTCTGTGTCTGGGTTTGGTCTGATTCTACTGCTTCAAGTATCCTGCCACATTATCCAAAGCCCTGTCCCCACTTGGGCCTGGCTTGGGGTCTGGATGCAGCTGCCTGCCTCCTGTTGATCGAGGAAAGAGGCCCTGAAGGCTCCAGCCTGCAGGGGCTGGAATTTCATTTTGCTGACTTCATTAACCTCTCTCTACCACAATCCCTCTAACAATCTCACACATGGCAAATTCATGATCAAAGGACACTAGAACCCAGGGCCAGGAAGATGGCATAGTCAGAAATTTTTTTTTGCCTTAAAAGCATAAGGACCTGCCCCCTGTCCTCCTGCTTGACAGTCTCACTATGTAGCTCTGTCCTGAACTTGATGTGTAGACCAGACTGGCCTCAAACTCACAGAGATCTGACCTTTGTCTCCCAAGTGCTGGAATTAAAGGTGTGTGTGCCACCACACCCAGCCCATGGGCCTGCTATCTTCTAACCCTGGTGTTGAGAAGGTGAATCCAAGTGGATCCCTAGTAGAGCTTGCAGGCCAAACAGTCTAGCCTACTTGGCTAGCTCTCACCAGTCCAGTGAAAGGCTTGGTCTCAAAAAACAAGGTGGGTGGCTCCCAAAGAACTGACATCTGGGGTTAATTTTTGACCTATTCCCTCCCCCCACACAGATACACCTACCTACCTACACACACACACACACACACACACACACACACACACACACACACACACACACACACACACAAATAGAAACTAGAGTTCACTTAATACCACACACACACACACACACACACACACACACACAAATAAAAACTAGAGTTCACTTAATAAGAGAGGTCAACATATCATCCTAGAATCTACCTCTAAAATGACTTCTCAACTAGGGATGTATAAAAATGGGGAGAACTTAGCTTTCCATCCCAGGTCCTCAACAATTCTGTGTGAGAACAGGTGCCATGAAGGTAGGCTTTAAGCCCCTGTTTTGGCCATCCCCCAACATCATCACTTAGAATTTGGGAGCATTCTTCCTCCCAGTTGGCTTCTTGGCTCTGGTGTGTATACACTGTCTCTAGGAGCCACAGGGAGGCATGAGGTCTGAATCCAACCTGGACTGCTTAGCAGGAAGGGCCAGAAGGTGTGGGCCAGTAAGACAGGAGTGTTGAGATGGAGCTCCTAGAAGAAGGGCTCACAAAGAATGAAGAGTCCTGAAGAACATCTGGAGACATCAAGAGAAGCTGTGGGGGTTGGAGTGTCACTCAGCAGCAAGACTAGAACAAGCTTCTATCATGGGGGGACCCCATCTCCTCTTATGCTTCCCCCCCCCCTCGAGCCTATAGATTCCAAACTAGTATCATTCATATTCTCCCCCTCTGGAAAGTAGATAATAGTTTTCTTTGAAACATGGTCTCATGTAGCCTATGGTCTCATTTAGTACAGGCTAGCCTTGACCCCTCTGTTTAGCCAGGAGTAAGTGAACT